GTCTCAGAAAAAGAGGGAGAAGCAGCTTTGCAGGAGTGTAGAAGGGAAGTTAGTTCTCCTGGTATTTCCAGCGTGGCTTGGCTCATAGACACACCAAACGCAGGAGCCTGGTGGGTGTGAGATCATTAATAGTCTAGTCACAAGCTTTCTTTCCCTCCCTCCCTCCGTGTCTGGTCACTGCCGGATCCCTATGGCAATACAGCTGGCTGTACCCAAGTCTTGCCACATTCCAGGGCAGGAAGGGAAGAGCTTGCACTCCCAGGACATTCTCACCCTGGGGTCACACCTGGGAGGCCGCAGTTTAGAATCAAACCCAGCAAGCAGCAAAATGATGGGTCTGGCCTCTGCTCCCCTGCTTTCTAGGGAAAAGGGGCCATGGAGAGCTCAATTTACCCTCTTCCCAAACCCATCAGCCTCACCTGACCCTGGGAAGAGTGAGGACAGGGCAGCAGGGCCAAGGCCGGCTAACATCTGGGGGAGGGGGTCCAGTAGAACAGGACACCTGCAACAATATCACCCATCCCAAGCCACCAACTCACAATTTCCCCTGTCCCAGCAAATAGCGATAACAATAGGAACAGCCTCAACAATGAGTAATTATAACACTGCCTTTCCTCAAGCGGCACTGCAATACCTGCCCTCTCCTCCACATTTGTTAAAGCAGCATTCATCACCTGTACCTGGCTTTTCCCCTGAACCTGGGCCAGGGTTTTATTTAATTCTCCCCAGCATGCCTGGCTAGGTAGATACATTTATTCTGCACCACTGCTTGATAAACAGTGGAGATAAAATATTATCATCAAAGCACAAACCTCTTCTCTCAACACAAAGAGTCATGCTTATGCCATGCCCACAGTCATTGCCATGCTGCCCACATGAGATCTGTCTAGTCCAGCATTTCTAATGTTCCCATCGCTGGAGTACCTAGGTGACCAACATATGAATAAGGATAGAACTAACATCGGCTTGCAGGAACCTTGAGGTCTGTCTGTCTGTCTAAGCGTTTATCTGGCCCCCATCTCTGTACTAGTGGAGTATCTCTCTGTCTTCATTCTCACAACACTTCTGGAAGGAAGGGATGCCTCTTCACAGCCACTCTGTTATTCTTCCTTATCTGTTCCCACCTTTTCCCTCTATTTTGGTCCTTGTCATTATCCTCTTCTGAGGAGAGACTTTTTGTACTGTGATCTACCCGTTTCAAAGTGTTGGGGGTTTTAAAACCACCTTCACATGAGACTACCCAAGGACAAGCCGGTGATATCACCATAACTTAGCACATGACACTCTCCAATAGGACGGGAGCTTGGTTTCCTCACAAGTATAGGTTAATATGCTGCTGTCACTACGAAAGTGGGAATATAACACGCTAGCAACAAAGCCCCTGACGCCTGCCAGACTTTAGTTACTGAACTGAAATGGCTTCTAATTGAGAGGTTACCTTTAGTGTCAGAGCCCCACAAACAATGCGAACAGCGGGTTAGTTTAAATGGCATTTATTTTCGCATTGGAGGGCCGGGCCGAGGTGCTGGCCTCCCCAAATTCCTGAAGACAAATGGCAGCTGAAAACTAACCTGTTCTTATCCCTCCCATTGTTGCCCACCTAGGCAAGCACACACCACCCCGCTCAATATAACCAATCCAGTTTAATAACTCTTGGCAGGCAACATATGCCACTTGACTTGGAGGCAGAGGTTTGCACAAAGGGGTGTATTTCTGGAGGGGGCCGATCTTTCGGAATGCCAAGGGCAGCTGGCTAGGGCAAAAGCAGGGAGAGGAGAAGGAAAAGGGAATTTTGAAATCCCAGCGGCGGCATGTATGTTGCAAACCAGCCTGGATGAAGTACAGAATCCATTTTGTCCCCTTTGATCTCTATTTGCTTTTCCAGCAGGCTGCGCTCAGCGCCAGTCGGGAACATGCCCAGAGAGCTACCTAAAGGCAAACAGGGCACAACCGCCTCGGGCAATGTCAGGCGGCAGAGGACGCAGCTTACGGCCCAGGCCAGGCGCTGAGTCCCAGAAGCTGATGCAAGAAGCCAGCGTGGTGCTCGACGACGGGCACTCGCACCGGGATCGCGTCCGCCTGGGCGTTCAAAGGCTGCTCCCAACTTCGCCTCAACTCCGCAGGCAACAGACCCGACCTGTTCCCGGGAGCAAGAGGGACCGGGGCAGCGAGCGGGACCCCGCGACTCCTTCAGATCCCAGCAACTCCCGGCTCCCTCGCACGCCCCTGGGACCGGGGTGCCCAGGGCCCGTTCCTCTCCGAGTGGCGCGGGTGCGCTCCCGCCGGCTCACGCCCCTTTCGCTGTGTCCCTCTGCGGGGACTTCTGCAGCGGCGCCTCGGCTCTGCAGGCAGCCCTGGCTGGGGGCACGCACACAGCGACAGCTGCATGTGCATGGCACGCACCGAGGCCCGGGG